AACTATCGCAGTTATTCGGGGGATAATCCCTATCTTATTCCTGGTGATCAAGTATCCCAAACACTTTGCTATCCTGGATGCTCAGAGATCCCGAAACCAGGGCCCATGAAATGTCATCCCACCCTGTCATATTGGAAGGACATTTTGACCAGCAAAGGGTCCAGACTAAACTCCTGGAACAAAACGCCCTACACTTCAGAATGGGAAGATTCAAATCAGCCCTGACTCTGGGAAGAGGGGGAGGGGTCCAAAATCTGGATCCACATTTTCCAGCTTTGCCCCCCGCATCACATTACAGAGGCAGGGTTACTACAGCAGCACATCAGGCTGATAGGAACTAGTGACTCACACAGGGCCAAACCCATAGCTGCTGTCCCTCTCTAATGGCTCAGGAGACACCCGGGAGTTTGTTTTCATTGCTGAAGAGCTCAACAATTGTATCTTAATCTCCCAAGGACAATGCAAGCACAAACACTAGCTGTACGTGTTTGATTAGCACTCAATAGGGCGTTGTGTGTTCAAAGCTCTGTTGCAAATGTTAACGCAGCCATGTTCACAATAAACCAGTAAGGTCAGTCAGTATCAATATCCCAATTTCACAGCTGGGGAAACTGAGGCACATAGCTGCAAAGGGGTTTGTCCATGGCTGCACACAACAAGTCAGTAGCAGAACGGGGAGCAGAATCCAGACCCCTATGCTCTAGCCATTAGACCACACTTCCCTCCCCGGGATAGCACCCAAGAGTCCTGACTGCCAGTTTCGCCCACTCATTCCAGCCACAAGTTCACACTTCCATCCCAGACTTGGAAAGAGAACCCAGAAGTCCTGACTGCCAAACTCCTGCTTATTCCTCTAGCCCATCGTGTTCAACAGGAAACAAAGCGATATTGAGTTGATTTATAAACTGACTCTGTCACAAAAGATTGACTCGGTGGCAGCAGATGGGCCCCCCACAGGACTTGCTAACCCCACGGGCAAGCCACCCTCTAAATACAGCAATTGTACAGAGCAGCATGTACAGAGATACACAAAAATTAAACAAAGCCCTACTAAAACAAGACACCTCACTGCACAAACACGACACTGCCCCAGGGGAGGGAACAACCCACATGTGAGGATGTTGCTTAGTGCCCGGCTGGATGGTACTTCAGATAGGACAGTGTTGAGGATGGTATGAGAACCTATACACAGTAAAAAAGAATAGATGAACACTGTTCTCCCGGCCCAACAGGGAGAGTGAATGCTACAGCTAAGGGCTCCTCTCCTAGAGTTGCCAGCCCCAGGAGTTGAAATCGAGGGGGTATTAGTCTGAGTGCTGCAGGGGATCCCAGTGCTTAGGACAGAACCCACAGCACACACAGACTCTGATGCAGTTCACTGGTCCTGGCAAATTACCAAGGGGCCCCTCAGCACTGTGGAGTCTGGACTGCTAACTGACTGAATAGGCCTGGTCAACACTGATTCTCCACTTGTAAGGTAACTCCCCTCTCTTCAGGTGCCAGTATATTTATGACATGCATCCGACGAAGTGGGTATTCACCCACAAAAGCTCATGCTCCAATACATCTGTTAGTCTATAACAGGGGTCGGCAACGTTTGGCACGCGGCTCACCAGGGTAAGCACCCTGGCGAG